GTTTAAACATGTGGGCAGATGAAATGTACAAACATGCATGCGGTATGGGGTCAAGGTCGGGGCTTGTGATGGACAGTTGATAACGTGCCATTTTTTTGCATTGTCAGCAGCTGTTTGTCTGCACACACCCTGTTGAAATGCCACAAAACATATTAAATTAAATTTAAACAAACACTCAACTGCCACTGAGTGCAAGTAGCAACGTAACCTTTCCTATATCCTGAAATCCCTTCCATCTAGATTGAAATGTACAACCCCACCTGCCACAGATATATCAATGAATTTCATGTAAATAGAATCCGGACGTTTCGATTCATTATAAACAAAACCAACACTGCAGCTGATATTGATTCTAAAAAAGAAATTGAGATCAGGGCTGATTATTCAGGTCAGTATCTGAAAATGTCTGTGTATTTATTGAAAGTATAAAATATTAATAATATACAGTAATATACGCGCGTGCACATGACACTTGTTTATGTTTATCTATTGTACATATATATTAATTTATATATCCTATATTGTTCACATAATGTACACTAGAAATCTACCAGAGTGAACTACCAGATGTGATTGAGATAGCAAGAGCTTTCGCTGTCACAATACATTGTGAGATGTGTTTTCTCTAAATAAGAGCGTGGGACTGGGTTCGCATTTTGCGTTCTAAAGATGATTATAACAGTTATAACTGTTGGTTAAATATATAAAAACCTACTCGCTTCTTTGCTTTTAGACACACTACAGAGTTTTTCTTCACAACATCGTGGCTTTGTGTACGTGGAAGTCGCGTAATAAACACACTGCTTGCAATAAAACGGTGTATTACATATAAGTTACGATTTCAACTCGAAAAACACAGGTTTGTACATAAACATGACAAGTAGGTCAATCCTGAACAACTGGCTATATGTATTTGAAAGCGAAACCTCATTAGTCTGCACCTTGAGAGTCCGGAAACCTTGCCTTTACAACGGATGTAAGAAGGCACATCTACATGTGTATGTACAAAGGGATAATGGATCATCTGCCTGTAAACCATGGATCCGGAAATGTATTGATCTATTTGATCTCAAATAAAATTGCATTGTCCGGACTAACAAGGTTTAACTTTGTACTTGATTATGCTCACCTGTGTTATCCAGACATATAGTGTCCACTGTAACATTTTAGCTTCATTTTCACTATCCTAGTCTTGTGCCGTCTAAACATCCCAAGGTATACATATCCCAGGTATACAATTTAAGATCTATTTTGTTTGTTACCGGGGCAACAAGTCTAGTGTACTCATCAAAACATTGTCTGAAAAGATACCTAGATTAGCATGACCAGGAAATGAGAAAAACGCCGATGTTGGCATGTGGAAGAATGTCGATGTTTAAACTGATGTGTATTGTCATGAAGCTTCTTCACAATCACCATCGATTAGACAGTATTTAGCTGCAAGGTGTCATTGATACCTATATTCGCGATAATCATATTTCCTTTAGACCTCTGATTTGTACTGAAATTTACAAATCCATTTTCACTGTTCGTACCAATTCTATAATGAATCTAAAATGTTTTTATTCGAATTCGTCCAAATGTTTTGTCAGTCTTCATGTGTAGATATAAGGATAGTTTCAAAATTATATTTGTGTCGGTTATTTTATAACATATTTATTATTATCAAATATTATTCCCATGCATACAGGCCCAAAATTGATATTTAGATATGTTTGTAGTACATTCTAGGAAAGATATTCAAATTCCATCATCATGTAAGAAATATCTTATGCTCAATAATTTTCAATTCAATCTGGCATCTTTTCTGCTATCAATGTGTGTTATCTTGTCAAGTACATTTTCATTATTTTTACATCTTTTTTGTTATGTACCCCTCCCGTGTAAATATTCCGTGGAATGTATCGAGCTTAAAACATATGTCTACCACTCTATATACGCATATCAAGATGAATATCTGACATATATATTTATGTGGTTTAATGTTGAAGTACCTACTTTCAAGGTGCTATTGACGCTTGGACGTCAGACAACTAACTTTCATCAACTGCTGTTCGTGTGCTAATCGTAGATCAGATCAAACGTTTTAATTGCATCAATTATTTAATCATAATTAAAAATGTCAGATGCCTCCTTCAACTGTTGTACATTTCAAGCACTTCATTAAACACCTTTTGTTCATTTGATGACCATTGTCTTAAGTACATAAACACAAGCCGACTAAACTCCAATTACTGAGAAATCGATTTGTTGTTACAAAACAATCTAAGCCTCTTCACTTAAACCTGAATCCATAATCAGACCTCATTAGCATTATTACAATTAGACTACATTGAGCTACACCTCGGTTCCAGCATTGAGAGAAATGTAAACATTGAAGCTGTACTTGGTGACATTAGCATCATGTTGGCACGTCTTTCTGTGGATATGTATGTATCGTGTTTTAATGAACTGACAGTAATAAACACTACTAATAGTCATCAAATATTTGTTTTTTATTAGATTTCCCCTGTCCCATTGCCAGCACGTGTCGAACATGGCGTAAATCAAAGTTAACTCGAAACACGTGTCGACCTCGCACCCGCCATGTCGGTTTCAGGGAACTCTTATGTTCGTGTTGTCAATCAAGGAAACTATGTTGGGTTTGTTGCAACCCAAAACATCTAGTCTCGTATTGGAATAAAATCATATGAATTTCCTGTAAACTCCATCTGCGATGTTTACGAGCTTGTAATATACACGTCCAGGAAACTGTTACGTCTTGAAGTGCATAACATTAATTGTGAATGATTGCTATGTACAATGTATGTTTGTGTTCATTTCATGGATGTTCATTTCAAAATGTTCTCACTAGATGAATCTACATGTACCCAGCATCTGTAAAAATGTTTATCTTTGACAATTCCAAAGTTACATCTATCTTATATGTAATGATATAAGAACAAACAAATGGTGTTGTGATTTATAGTATGTATGCATATGTGTGTAGGTATACACGTTAACAGAGGATGGCAAATAAACATCCTGATTACGGCAGCTCCAGTAATGTGATATGACCTACGATACCATTATGAATATATATAATCGATATAGATTCTCAGTAGACAGACGAGTTTCCCTTCTCGTAGTCAGTGCTAAGGTAAACCCTATCATGCCTTTGAGTGACGTTACACTGGGGCCTGTGTATTCAACAGGCTCATGTCATTTTCATTGATTGACAGTTATAGCCTCTCGCATATCAATATCAGGCTGCAATCAACATCGGCTTGCAGGAACATGCAATGTCTGTTTACACTGTGCGGTTCAATCATAACGCCATAAAATACGTTCTTGCATGCTAATGATAATAAATCGAAAATCGTCTTGGTGTAAATGCGTCCTTAATTAATCACACATTGCTTTAGTGAAATGTCTGGCAATTTTAATGAGAAATCAATCGATCTCAATGTTGATGCACCAGCTGTAGAAATTACAATGTTCATAATAAAAAATGTAATTAAATACAGTGTCCTTGCTTAATGTTCACAGCGTTATATGGACGTGAATAAGGCCGAGCTTTCATCGATGTTATATTACACTTTATTGCTGCCTGGTATTATTGGAGGCCGTATCACTGACACTGCTAACACAGTTTGGTACGAGATCACATTGTATTAACCTTACGGGTACTGAATTTAGCGCATGACGCATACCTTGGTATTGGCTGACGCAGTAGAGAACAGGACACACATGCATAGAAGTGATTGAAAACGTTTGTGTTGTGAATTTAAAGGAACAATTAATGCTCCAAATGTGAAAATATTAACGAAAAATATACAGTGTTTCGATCTTATAATGTTGGGGTTTGTTTGGGCTAACAATAAAGAGCAATGAGTTGTTTATATTTTATTGCATTTTCCCACATCACTGTTGCATAGCACGGTTTACTCGCACATAATGTCAGCACAACACACGAAGACCAAACCACGAATGATGTATGCGTTCTCCTTATGTGTGAGGCAATCATTTCACACAAACGAGACCCATGGGTTTCCAGAAAGGGAAACAGTCACCCCAGAATACAATCAACACGTCACACACAACCCAAAGCCAGAGACAATGGCCCAAGTCATTCGCCAAGCGCAGTAACGAAAGAACCACACACAGAACACACTTCTAGAATACAAGAAAAAACTTTATTCAAAATCATATAAAAAATGGAAAATGGGAAGCCTTCTACTGTAGAGTATAGATAAAAACGTAATTAGTATATATCACGTCAAAAAACAGAAACGCACAGCACTCTCGCTTACCTAATCGTTCAACTTAACGATCCTTATATAAATATCTTTGATAAATATCTATCCCCCAATAATCTTCTTCTAAGACTTCGTGAAGATTGGTAACGATCCATGAAAGAAAACGCCAAAGGCCTCCAGAATGTGAAATTGTGAAAAAATGTTAGGTTGAAACCGGCTGAATGTCATTGCAAGGACGCTGTAGAGACGTTGTGTTTTTCACATGCAAATTGTGTTGATAAGGGCCGGTCTACCCCAACATGGCCGTGGATCGTCGGTAGGGAACGCCATCTTGAAGCTGATCAGTCCCGTGTTGGACCAACTACGACAATTTTGACACATAGTTTGAAGGGCCGCTTAACAATGATTTGGCAGTCTTCCAAAACATGAGTTTAGCAGCTTATGTTTTCCATGGAGCTAAAATCCACACCTTACGACGAAGAGAAAATACTGCTCTCTAGATGGTGCAAACTTTGATATTTTCTCTTCACCCTCTCCAGACGGAATAAATGAAATTCCATTCAGAGCACCACCATAGCACATCCTCGCAAAAATCTCCCTTTTTCCCATGCCCTGTCTTTCTCCATGCGCACAACAGAACTCTTGCAGATACTACGAAACGATATCGCGAGCAGCTTATCGGGCGGAGCTAGTTGGAGGCGGAGCTACCGCACGTGACTGTAATGTATGCACAGTGGGCGGGGCTTAGCTGAGCTGCTCTGATCGGGACCAAGCGTACAAATACACGTCCAGGTAGAGTAGCTAGCATTGACAATTTGGAAGGTCAGTCACTCGGAATAGCGAAGGAGTTACTGTCCATCTACCGTCCAACCTTACTAGTCGTTTGTTCATAGTATCTCGGACTTTGCTGTGTTTATTTCTGTATTTCTGTCTCTCTCTCTCTCTTGTACTACTTATATCATGGCGACTACCACCCCCACCACCGGCGTGCAGCAAAAGGATACCACTTTCACTAAAATATTCGTCGGAGGGTTACCGTACCACACGACAGATCAGTCCCTGAGGGAATACTTCGATAAGTTCGGCGATATAGAAGAGGCAGTGGTTATTACTGACAGACAAACCGGAAAAAGCCGAGGATACGGATTTGTAAGTATAGTTGATTTCGTCAGTCACATGGTTGTTAATAACACGTAGGGTGAGATCTGGTGAGGCTGTACGATATCTGTCCTCGGTTTATATCACGGATCCCACGTATTTAGTTTTTGAACCCGTTTATTCATTACACCCTGTCTTTGTTTATTGGTTCTCAACACTCCCCAAATTCAAACTATGTACGTTTGAGTAAAGATTGTGTAATCTGGCGTGTTAAACTCGAACTGTTTTTAGCCTTCCGTGTGGAGCTTCATATCTCAATTTGAATCTCTCACTCTAAGATTGTATCAGACATGTGTAACTTGACCCTTAAAACACGTTTCCAGTAGTTGTCATTGAAATGAGGTTTTAACAGAGCAACGAAGTTCCCTAGGTTTCGACTCTGCTTTATTTGGGCCTGTCATGACATATTTGTCTGGTCTGAAATTGACATGAAATTAACAAGATCCATTCGGTGTAAATTTCACGAAAATATAAAAACAGAAAAAAAACAGAATGATGCAAGGCTATATCTCGTGCTCTCACAAACTGATGATAAATTGGACATTTTATGACTTCAGCCAGATAAGAGTAATATAGCTCACCCACTCTGATAAGGAGGGTTCTGGCGTGTAGCCTGTCAGAAGCATGCGTAGCAGCGGTTTACGCCGTCATCAATTGCTTTAGTTCACCAGAGACAATACCGACTAATGTATCAGCGTTCGTAGTATTGTAATACGCAGATGCTGATCGATAACAAGTCAATCATGTTTTATTTCAATGCCATCCCGTTACTCATTGTCAGGTGCTCAAACAACTGGTACAATCAATTTCTGTCGGTTCAGCCTCGAATGGGCCCTTAAAGTACTATAAAGGAAAATATACCTTAATTCTCTCGCATATTATCCCCTTTACATTAGTCCATATACATCTCTCTGTCTTTATGTTGTCAATTTCATTGTCCCTAATGTACTTTTCGTTGCTTGTGGTTAATGGGGCGTTGCTGTACTATGTAATTGCATTGTTGATTTCATGTATGAAATAGACACTCTCGGACAATAGTGAACACGTTTTGAACGTACATATGTCACATCTAGACCCCCAATAACCCCCCTTGGGACTCCCCTGTTGGGGCCATTATGCTGGTCAGTGCTTTGAAAATAGAAATTGATCTGTTTCCATGGTGACAGCGTAAGGAACTGTCCAAGCGTTCATTACATGTGAACATAGAGCTACTGCAATCAGTATTCACAAGGGTGATAATTAATATTAGATGTCGGGAGTATGACAGCCCCCCTGTTAATGAACAAGCCATATGTTTATGATCAGACGAACAATCCCGACACGTCCCGTGAAGTGCGAGACCTGACAGCGTAGTCGCTGGAGTTGAAAGCAATTGAAAATATGTACTTGATGGATCTAGTGAATGTATACGAAGAAAGTGGGACACCGTTCTAATAAAACATTTATGTCCTGAAGCCGATAACAGTGATATTACATTATCAATCTTGATTTTAACAGAACGTTTTTTCTGATATCTATATACAACTGATTCCTTAGGTTTAACATGCATGCATTTCTGTATTGCTGTGGGTAGCTGTACAACAACAAGTTGTTCATTTCACTTGTCTATAGCACAGGTGAATCTCAACTGAGTACTTACGGTCATGAATATTACATGTAGATATTCAGTGTTCTGTTTCGCTTGGTTCCAGGTGACAATGGCAGATAGAGCGGCGGCTGAACGTGCCTGCAAGGACCCAAATCCTATCATTGATGGCAGAAAAGCCAACGTGAATCTTGCGTATCTGGGGGCAAAACCTAGGGGGAACCTCACATCAGGTAAGTTTCTCTCCTCAATACAACCCCTCTCCAACCCAATACACCACAAGAGCCTTGTTTAGGCTTTGTTCACACCGACAAAATCTCCATACACCATCTACACGTTGAAAGGAATCAATTGTTTACACACAGTGTTATAAGTAGCGAGGAATGATCATGCATAATTCAGGATCATGCATAAGTTCTATGCATTCTGTCAGTTAGCTGTACATGGTATCCGACAAAACCAAATTTTGAAACATTGCACTTATTGTAAAACTATTTTGTAAGTTATTTATGCTGGTATGTGATATATCTGCACCAGCTGATATCAACACTGACGTGTTTCTATTGGTGGTAATAAATTGGGTGGATCGAATAGCAACGTCTAAATTACCATCATACATGGTAGTTCAATGTCAGGCCTGAATTTATAACCCTCTATTCGATGCCACGTTCACATACAGTAATAACAGGACACTAAGAAAATCTTAAACATGGGAGGTACTTCCACTTCAACTATATGTCATTTACGACACACTGTTAGAAAAAAATGCTTTAAATAATTGACAAAAGGCAATGACGTCATTCAGAAACTTGAATGTTAGCCATCTCTGATGTTTTTGTATTTGGGTAGCCCCCTACCCGAGGTAAGGAATGTGAGAACCGTTACCCGCCGACCCGATCCACCCGGATGATTTTCTGTAGACGCGCGTTGAGGGTAATAAATAGCTGACAGGAAAATAGTATGAACTTGAAGCTGTTCTATACCATGACGCTGTGGCCGACCGGATCATTTGGACTGTTCTCAACGGCGTTAATCCTCTCCATAAACGACCGTCAAGTCTTGGTAAACAGGCATATATGGCAAGGAATGAATTGGCCATATAGACCTAATTAAACGTGTCATAGAATCTTCACAGCCACTAACTGCTGGATGGTCCAAAGGGTTATTAATGGAATCAGAATTATCACAAGGCCGCTGCCTTTACATTGTTGTTTATATTGAATACCGTTGACGACTTTTAGTGCACTTTCCTTACAGAAGTCCTCATTAATACACTTACAGAAGTGATTAAATATGATTAAATGTTTGACCTCTATTGTGGCGCTTGGTGAATCAGCTTATTAAACTGGCAACGTGAATGCCTTTCAAAATTTGTTAACTCGTTTAATACCTCCTCGAAGTTCCAACGTCAATTCAAAGTAAGACCGGCGGTTGAAGAATTGTCCTACTTAATGAAGTTTGGTAAGATAACATGTCCTTAATCAACACTGTACTGAAGGAAAACTGTTCTGACGTTGAAACGTCTAGTCGGTGGTATTGAACAACGACCCTAGCTCGAGAAAAACAGTCTGGGTGGGTTTCCTAACCTTGTTATCAGTAAATGCGAGCAAGTAATTAAACGTTCTACCAAAAGCAATTTCTACTTAGCGAGATTGGACGAGGACGCGTCGATGGCATATCTTGGGGCTACTGCTGTGAAAGGCCAGCGTCCAGTAGAGTTGTTCTTGACAGAACCCGGATGAAGCAACATGGCGCCGACACATGTTTCTATAATTATAGGCTTTGCAATACACGTGCTTTTGATACTGGTTATCCTAAGAATTCACAGGTATAGTAATGTGCCCATCAAAACTACTATACGTAATGCTATTTATAACCACCATAACACCCTGGTGAGCGTGGAACCCGACTGATGCCAATAAATATGTCTGCACTTTTTGTTATAGGAAGAGTCATGGAAATAAAATTTAATATTTTTCGCAAATGATCTCATTTGAAATTAAACTTGGCGCCTGATTTAACGTTTTAATCACTCAGTCTCTCATCCTGGTGAAGTATTTGATTCCATGTTTGTACCAACTAGTAGTGTGCTTACCGTAAGGAAGGTTTGGAGAAACAGGCGTACTGCGCTGCAAACAGCTGGCAGATTTCTCTCGTTTGCCATCTGGCCATAGACTTTGGGTTAATGGTACCAGTCATCTCCCCCGGTCTCATCCAGCGCCAAGACAGCTACCAGATTCTATTTCCTAACAAAATACGTGATGAAAAAAGAAACGGAAAACGGAATGTGATTATTGACTGCCCAGGCACCCTCCGTCATTGCAGTAAATCCCAAACTCTGAAAGTCTCCTGCTGGTTTCCAAATACTTTTACTTATGTGTCCCAGATAATACTAATTTTACTACGTGTTTATATTTACGTTCTGCGTTTTCTTTCTCATAGAACGTGTTCAGTTATTGGCCAATATATTCCATTGTTTATAACCGCGATCAGTAATTAGGCCAATTTGGGGGGTTATCTCCCCTCCTATCCTCTAACCTACTTCTGGTATTTGTTATGTGGATTTTAACGATGTATTTTCGGCTGTTATAAACTTGATGACATACGTCTGTCGGGTTCACGAACGATGGTCATTTTCGCATACTTCAAAGAAGATTAATAAATATTTACACGGCTATCCGTTCTCATCTTCCAATTTGAGTATCCTACCACGAGGCTAGACTTGAACCCAGAAACACATGGCTTCGTCCGCACAACAAACATTATCAACATGAAAATTGCTCACCAGCATATTTACATAAGCAGATGGCGTGTGGTTTATGGCCACCAACATATCTGTCACAAAGGAAATGAAACCATATTAACTATATCTGTAAATGGAGTATGATTCATGTATGTATGCTGTTATTATTCTTGATGTATAGGAATATAGAAAGATCACTTCTAAAAAGGGTAGACAGATTGAATGTTTTAATCCAAGCTGATGCTCTTTGAATTAGCAATAACACTGACAATAATTTATTTTGATCCATGCTTTTGTAAATATTGTTGATTTTATCACACTATTTAGTTGTTATATTTTATCTCACCTTTTAATGTTGTTTCTAATGTTGATTGTTTTCTTTTCAGCGAGTTTACCGTTTGCAATAAAGACAGGCATTCCGATGCTTCCCGGTCAATATGGGTGAGTTTAATAGCCTTTTCAAAGCACTTCAGCTCTCAACAGGAAACGCTATGCTCTGCGTACAAGGATCCCTAAACCTTCTCTTATATGGTCAGACTGCTAATTGATCCCCAGATATGTTTTGTTATAAGAGTGAATCTGGTTTTCATATGCGCTAGACGTTTCTCCAACCTCTGATATTTGAAAATGTAAACTCCCTCCCCATGCGCGTGAGCGGCTGACGTCACAACATGTCTTTCCTTTCCCTGATGTTTCAAAATATTGGCCACCAGATGGCGCTGGGGATCAGATTCATTGTAGGAAAACATCCTGTGAATCCTTTCCCTCTAAAGTCTTGGTGCAGTGCGAAAAACATTTCAGAGGTGGGTGGGAACAAGATGGCGGCTATGACAAAGGGAAAGCGGGAGGTGTTAAGTTCAGCATTCTTTTACAATAAAACAAAAACGAATTATGATTTCATGTTGAAGGAACTTTGTCAATATTGAAATTTAAAGAGACAGTTCTTGTAATTTAAGACTAGATAGTATAGCCCTTATAAGGAGAAAAATGTAAGATGTGTTCCTTTTTATCCCATAGCGACAAACAGAGATGAGGGTAGCTGGCATAACGCATAACACTTCATCTAGGTCAGAAGACTTGACCTTAGGAGGTCACGTGATGACCAGTGCTCGAACAAACGAGAACAGGGTACCTGGTGTTCTTGTGTTTTGTGCCAGATCCGATTTCGTTTTAACGTGGTTTGACTTTTTTCATTTTGCTTGCCGCGTGTGGTGAGGGCCTGATTCCCACTTTTGTGTGACGCCGAATCCCCCCGAAGTTTTTTTTTTCATTTTAAAGCCCGTGTGTTTGTAACTGGACTGTGTTGTACGTTTAGTCTGCGGCTGTTGTGATCTACTAACAACACTGAGTCAGTCAGGTGACAGCAAGATGTAAGACCTAACACCCACATAGACACTTAGTCTTTCACCGCCTACAGGCGTATTAGTCCAAAAGTAGGATCTAGCCAAGGACAAGTACCGAGACTCCAACACATGGTCTTAGAACCCCGGTAGTTGCTCATATTGAAATTTATTATATGGAAAGTTCAAAGCTGATCTCTACAATCAAGTATGTATAATACCCATATTCAGATTCAGATTAAAGGTCGAATAGGTAGGTCAAGGTTAAAGGTCATCTCTTTCGTTATTCTTACGTAATACAGGTGAAAAGTTAAGTAAGTTCAGTCGGTATGCCTGCGTTGTTGGACCCAGGTGGGGTTGTATGACAGTTGCCGTGTAAGACTTCCGAGTTGCCAGCAGTGGCGTGGTAAGTGTGATGGCCGGGCCTTATCAACCATATCTCTTGGCTCTGATAACCGCCATTAACGTAGATTGTATTCTTCGTGTCACAGTCAATTGTGTTTCTCTTCATCCAGCCCAGATAACAGTTCCTTCTCTCGCCAGACTCAAAGGTCAAGGGTGAACACTTCTGATTCCGACTATGTCCACAGTACGAATATGAGATATCACAGCTCTCTCGCTCTCTCTCTCTCTCTCCATATGTTCATTCGCCTCAAGCAGTCAAAGAGCAGTTGCACGTTATGCCCAAACTGGGCTTCCATACATATATCAGTTGGAGAGATAACGCATTTTCTTTGTCCAGTTCAAACTTCGATAGCGAGTAGTACGAGAGATTAAATCTCCATGCCAAGCTGGTGAGTGTAGAAGAGACGTGGTGATCGTTTCAAGGTGCTGAAATTCCTTCTGGACTGCTTAAATTAACTAATTTTATGGGTGTAATTTGGCTATTAGAAATGGCCTCGTCTCGACTGACATTGATGTATGGTCTTTCGTCATGGAACCATCCAGCGAGGGGTTTTACTCGATTCTGACGTGCCCGCCTCTATTCTTATCCCCTCTTACCTATTTCCAGACTTGTGATTTTACGTTACCGGAAACCCATGGTTTTCTCAATATTAAGTGCAGTTTTGGTAATACGGGATTACCCCTCAAATCCTCAAATGCAAACTTACTAATTAGAACCTCCCTATCAAATCGGAAACAAGTTCCCGAGGTCTGTTCAACCTTTCAGTCTCTCAGACTCCACGTGGGTAAACTTTCAATAATGAAATCTTTCATCACACGTTAATGTTTCAAATGGGTTTAATTTATTTGTTGAGTTTATAACCGAATTCACGTATTTCGGTTTGGCTACTTTCCTTGTTTGGTTCTTTTTCTGGCAGAACGGTCGGCAAGCAATGATGTCTGTTGCGCTCTCGTGAGCAGCTGTTGAATTTATACGATTCCATTTCCCAGTTGTCGAGATCGCTGTGGGTTTAATTAAAGTTCGCGAGGAGCAGTGCTTGGACTGTATGTCTGTAGATTCGACATTAAGTGATTGTCCCTATGTGTATAAAGGGAAACGGCTTCTCATCACAAATAGTTGCTTGAAAAAGGAGATGAACTCCAGCTACTCGGAGCATGTAGGGCATCTAGTAGATACGAGAAAGAACAGATCTCCACACGTAATTGTTGGGACGAGCTGAGTGAAACTATAATACTATCCACCTGCTTGGATCTTCAGCCATTATTCCGCTCGTGTCATGCAAGACATATAAATCCTCACTCAACCCCTCTCCGTTACAATCCGTTGTAAGAATACAACTACCGCCGCGCTCTCGTGAACACGGCTGCTCATAAGGCATTCAAAATGACTGCATAATAAGGTGGAGGCAGTACTGCAGTGAGACCACTGCGTCCGCATGATTGATCACATACCCTGACCTCCATTTGTCTGTGACCCCGCTGTGTATACCCACCCGTTACCCCGTTCCTCAGTCAATATACACATATATTTACCGTTGAACCCCAGCCGCCATAGCTGGCCGATAACGCATATTCTCTTGGGGAATAGAAAAACAACCCAGTCCCTGCAGCTTGCGTAATATCACGGTGTGTAGACGGATTTATTTCAGTTTCGCTAAATCGTCCTGGTTTTCACATTTGTAAATACTGTTCTAATCAGTTTGTCTGAACGGAAATTGTAATCGCTGTCATGACACACAGGATCACAGCTGCTATTAAACGCGACCGTAAGGCAAGGCCAGAGAAGACACAGAAGACTGGGAGGCTGTCTTGTTATCTGTTCCCAGATCTATAGCCCGATCTAGGTTGTCGGGTTAGCTAACATTGATCCGTACATAGGCTAACCTATATCGGGTGGGACATTTTCCTGTTGGTATCGGAGGTGTAATCAGAAGGACGGGCTCTATAACCTGTCTGTGTGATCTGCGTGCACAAGCTGAAGCGCTGTCGCTGTCACTCGGTACACATGTTTCCCGCCAACACTCTAAAGCAGACGATCAGTTATGGCGGCGCAGACGTGTAGTCTATGTTTAGCAACACGTTTCTGCCCTCTCGGTAATTACCATGCCGTTATTTTGTGCATTGGTATCAATATCGTGATTGCTTATTAATAATGCAGTTCCTTGATACATAGTCATGCATAAGTGATATTATTCCTGCGCTGTACAATGAATCTATTCAATAGCTGAACATGGGTATTAGCGCTGTTTATATGATCCAACATCAGACACCTAATAAACGTACATCTATACCTGTACTTGCCAACAGGATATGGTTTACTGTACGGTAATTTTACGACATGTTTTCGGCATAAAGATAACGACAAACGTCCGTGAAAATTACACCTTTGTCTGACTTCCCGGTCAAGGTCAGCATGACATAAGCAATACATTCTGATGTCGACGGTTTCTGCTCCGAGATCCTTACAGCAATCGGTCTGTTAACAGAATGCAGTAACTCTACCCATCTTCCCCGAACGCCGTCCGTTAACAAATTTGACTTTACTTTACAAATGACAGAAAAAAGCAAAGGCTGAACTCGCCACCACGCAAATGATTTACCCCCTCGATGTAAACTGAACCATCAAAGCTTGAGCGTGATAGGTATGAGTTATTATACAAACAAAACTCAAATCCTCAAGGATCATGTTCACCATGGCTAATGTGTTTCATAAGCAGACTGTTGACTCCAACGAATAGGTAAAGAATCACGAAACTTTCAGCCCCACAGCCATCATGTAATGATATTTTGACTTCCAGACGATAGAATATGCCTTAACTTCAAGTTAGGGTGTGTGGACTGAAAGCCTTTGTTCCGGTCACGACACGTACAGGGTCTGCTGATGATTGCTCAAGTCCTGAATACTCAAAACCACGCGAACGTACCACACGAGCGTATTATAATTACGTCTTCGTTATTCACACCAGATATACGACTTATATTACTCTTGTCTAGTAAAAATCATCTAACTTGATTATCGCTATTGAAATGCGGGCAAGAAGAGAACACCTGGGCCCATTTAACGCACAATTCGCTCATAAATCTCGGCACAGTTCGGATCAATTTCTCCAGACACCTCCTCCGCATCTGCAGCCACTTACTTATTATCGACTATTGTGTAATAGGTGTCGGCGCAGTATACTGCCTTGACTCACACGGCTGATGTTGATATTCTTCATTTCAAGCGATAGCGCTGCCTTGACCTGTTTCAGTTTGAGGATCGTGAATCCGGATCCGTTTTTTTTCCAAACGTATCAGCAACCTTAGACATACCAACGTATTTCAACCAGAACAAAAACCGGTGTTATCTTGGCAAACGCGTGGGCCAAACATCTATCATCGAATATACTCCCGGTGTTAACAGGAACTTAACAAAAACGAAACTTCTGTCAACTTTCGGATTCATTGTACCGAAGGCTACACCTGCGTATTTGTGCACATCAAAATTTTGTCAGATTAGCCTGTAGACGTGACCTTGACTTGAGATGACCCTTTCGTATGTCATGACTTGAACCGACACCTGATTCAGCCTTCATCGTTATCGTTACAATCGGAACTGTCAAAAGGAGGTTCTGATTTACGTCTCTTAAAAGCCGAGAGGATCCGATATACCAATCCCACAAGCCCTAAACATTACCACGAAAGCTCTTGTTAGTAAAAGTCGCTTTTTAAATCACCGGAGCAATTTATTTAAAATTAGGAACACTTCACATACGGAAAAAGAAAATTGCAACAATTGCTTAGACGCCAAGCATAGACTCTGTCATTAATTCACTATCTATCTTGAATCTTCGGTAGTTTTACCTGATATGCATTTGAATTAGTCTGAATTCTTGCAATGTAGCGATCACATCCTATATATTTGTAGAAGAGCATATTCATTATCTTTAATTCCAACAGATGGCGATGCCTGTTTGCTGACGAACAAATAATTTCATGTCCTCATCTATTTGAGATAATTCATTGGTACGGTGGTATCTCCGCATGTAGAACGAGCTCACTGCCGCGAGAAGTCAAGTTGCAGGATGAAAAATGAATGTCTAATTGTCAGAGTACGAGCTTACAGACACATAGAATTAGTTTACCCATCCAGATTTATTCCAACCATTTAACACTCCTCTACGTCTTCGTAATGGGTGTTCTTGGTGATTCCTGCGCAATAATGCTTACCTGATTTGACCAAATTACTACAGGTAAGCCAGGATGGGAATTAACATGACTTTGAAATATTAGATTAATCTGTCGTAAACCATCTGGAACAAGGAAGAAATTCGGGCATCTAATTTAACTGCGTTCTTTAGAAATGAGTAACTTCGGAGGACATCAATAGCACTATATGTATACTTTCTGAGTCCATATAGACAGGAAACAAAGAAACAAATACTATTTCCCGACAGACTACACTCCTTTGTTCTGAGACGAGTCTTAGTGCAGTGGTAAATAACAAGGGTCAATTACAGCTTAAAGGAATCTGTTTCGGACAATTGATTTCAAATTATTGGAGCGTTCCTTTCAAGAAGGCAGCTGTTTTGACATGTGGATAACAGATAGGTGTATATGTCTGTCTATGTCTTGTCACAACACAAGAGATTTCATGCTGGTTTTTCATTTTCCCGGGTTGTTAAAACCGTACGAAATTTCACCCTTGAGCGGATACGCGGCGGAACCTATTTGAAGTGCTGCTGATTTCCACAGTACGGTTATTCTCCAGAAACGCTCTATTTCATTCTTTTGTTGGTTTTATATGTTTTTGAACAATGCAGTCTACAACTATTCAAGTATGGTACATTTCAACTTTAGTGAAATCGAAGTCATTCCACACAGATCATCACCCACGTATCCAGTTTCGGGTATGCTAAGTCCCTTCTTATCTGAGGCTGTAATCCTAGACAAGCACGACTATGCTTTTGAACTAATTTGCTCTGTGTATCGACCGGTTGTTATTGTAGTATATACCTACCCTGACATTATTCGGGACAACCGTATCGCTTATTTGTTATCGACAAGTTACATAACTATGTCAAATTGAAATAGCTGATTCTGATATCGCTGATCAGATTAAATTGTTTGAACTTTGCTAACGGTGAATAGCTTTTGAAATAAAGCAAATGCGTAGAGTTTAGATATGAGGCATTTGTATAGGTTGAAATGTATACAAAGATGGTAGATAGGCTTCTAACGACAGAATAATAAAACACGTTGTAAAACCTCGATGTAATTCGAGCCCCGAGCTCCGAGCCGCGTGGCCCGCCATTCAGCTGTATCATGCACGGGTAATTTTTGCTGTGTGTCGAAAGATAAGCGCCCAAGTAGTTGAAATCTCAACATCTAGCTCTCTATTTCGCCTTCTTGTAACACTGAAAGCGAATTTCCAGGCACCTTAAGTCAAACCTAAGAAAATTCAAAATATATTGCTGCTTTTCCAATAATCGTTCAAGGCGTTCAACATGAGAAGAAATATATCTAGTCGCCCCCAGATTTCTTGAAGCCTTCCCTGCCATTGTTGAAGAATATGTCATGTTTTAGTTATTGATTATACTGGGACTTTGTGACGTCATATCGCTGGCTTATTGCCCTAACAGTCACAGAGGTAGTACGTCTATTGCTAATTTCAAAGGATCTGACGATCAATGAAGAATTGCTGATTAATAGCTTATGACTGCTGGTTTTCACACCGTGTCAGTTTCATACAACGCCTAGATTATAAGATACCTTTCTTTCAGTAGAAGCACTAGGATGGTTTGTTTTGTCTGCGAGGCTTTCACCAGAACTAAGTCTGTTGTTGGCACCGTTGTTTGTTGTGAAAACACAAGTCAGATAGTTCCTGTCACAATAGGATTAAGCTAAAGGAAGACGATGTGCGCATATGCGTTGACCTCGAGGCATTAAGGTCCTACGTTTCAGGCGTCCGTGCATATGTACACTTGTCCTGCGTCCCTATAGCTATAACACAACAGTATTGACCCCTGTACTCGCTATGTTTACCATTCGGCTAAAGGAACCAAATATTTGGATCAACTCGACAACAACCCTACCTACACTCAAATTCGCACAGCCTGTCTATAAAGCTGAACTGCAAGTTTGGCCAAATTCATTTTTCATCTTTTCTTGGTGACGATTTCTTTTTTTTTTGTGTTTGACATTTCGGCAATTATTGTTGTGTGGTCGTATTTTCCATTTAGAAGGTGTTTTTGTTGTCACTATGTATATTTTCTGCTCACTCTGCTTGCTTTGGCCACGCGGGTTGTAGGCACGACTCAGTGCCGGACATGACACCATGTTCACTGCTCCGGGAACTTGACTTCCTTTCCCATAGAATAGCAAACTTTTTACTACACGAGTGTTGAATAACGGTTTATCTTTGTGTGTTTTGTGTTTGAATTGAATAATGGGCTTTGTTCAGCTCTTAATCGACTCTGAGAATTGTTGTAGTGAGATGACCAAACTCCGCACTAATTGTAACTTCATGTGTTTATTCAATGTCGAGAGAAGATATAAAAATCATTCACACTGCCGTTGTCAAGATACTGAGCTATGAGCGTTTACAGGGCATGAAATCTGGCGAAAGAGGAATTGGCGTTCCTCTGAGATTATGATAAGGCATGAAGAATGTTGTAGTTATACTCTGCCAATTTTTCAGTTATTTTCGTACACAAAACCTAATTATGTTTTACCCTCTTAAATGTAGATTATTGAGATGTTTATTTACAAACCTCGTTTGACTGAATATTACGAGTGAAAATCTAAATATGTTATTTTCTGTTTCAGCTTTCCACAGTATGTGTATCCTTCCGCCTACTTGGCCTCGCCTGGAGTTTTGGCAATGCCCCATTCACCGCTGTCTCCTACTACCGGAACTACATCCGCCCAATACATCGCGGACTATTCCACGGCCGCATACACCGGTCAGTTTACCGGGGGATTTGATGCATACCCCTATACGACGACAGCCAACGGATACGGAGTACCCGCAGCCTATACATACGCCGTCCCACAACAAATAGCAAATGGAAATGGCACACATTTCGCCCATTACCAACAACAACAAATTCAAGAGCGAATGCAGTAAAAGAGGATTGAACATAGGAATCTCCACATAATTACAAATGGACACGGACTCTAAATCTAGACAGTCCACTCGAATATTCTGAAAGTCCGAGAATATCTGACCATGTGACGTACCCTCTGCCTGTATGCCCACTCAGGTGGCGCCACCTATGTCTCGTCTATGCAAGGGATATACCTTGATTAATGAGCGTATGGAACTATTTGACAGTGCGGAAGTATTATTGGAATGAATTGTTCTATTCCGGTTTACTGCGGATGGATACAACCCAGAAAGTGTATATACGTCCACATGTCGTAATGCTTATCAAAATATGACGTCAGCATTTTATGTGTAATATGCAAATGTTGTTATGTTCACGTGTCGTCCTAGTTTCCGTCCAGATCGCTTTGACTTGCCGCAAAAAGCGTCAACAACATGGCGACCTTAATGTTGTAAGGTCTCATATATGTCTCATCTCGCTGTAGATAGATACCACTGTAGATAACAGAACTTGTAGCCATAGTAGAATCACTAGTTAGACATTAACCTGGTTTTAGGACAAGATGGCGGAGCTGCCAAATGAATTATTACACCATAATTGGAATGAAATCCTGATGCATTTTGACAGAAGTGCTTAAAATGATAAATTTGATATTATCAACAACCGCCACGTCTTTCTACGTCATAAATCCCTTACGTCATCGTAGCGACAGTTTCGTATCTTTATTCTCATCCGTAGTTTCGCATTTTACCCGTTAACCCATATCATGATTGTGTACTATGTTCCTGGGCGTCCAACTCTCGTCTTCTTAGTGCCTTATAAAATACACTCTGCTTTAATATATATGTTGGGAGCATGAATGAATACTGGAGTACGTCTGAGAATATGTGTCTTGAGCAGGATATTATACAAAGTTACAAGTCTGTATGTTTTGACTTGTCTAGAGATGTACGTCTCATTTTCAATCAGTATTTATTATATCTTGTTGAACTTATAATATAGACTTTGCTCCTGTATCTCAAGCTGCCATCTCACAATTGTTGTTATCAATATTTTATCTATGGCATGCCATAGGGGACACATTTCGACATTATTACTATTTATAGTTCATATTTATGGGTGGTTTTGGATACAGGAGAAACAGTCATTATATTGTTACCTCTTTTTGTACATTTTGAACATACCGAACAAGCAATGTGAAATCCGTCTAATTTATTCAATTTGCGCGTGCTCCATTTTCCCAAGGCAACAGAAGTCTTGCGGCGAAGAGCCGACTACAGGGACTACTTGCACTGTTTTTCCGATTAAACACATGGTAATGTGCCTTAAGGTTATGTATTCCTACGCCAGTTGTATTAATGGCGGATAGATATGGGCAGTGAACGCGTTCTCACTCATCGCTGGTCTTTCTTTTATTTCGTCATGAATTTTATTTTTGTATCAAATTTGTTAAATCATTCTCATTCACCACGCTGCATTCCATGCACAATTTATAAGGTTCCTTTTTAACGTATATTTTTATCAAAATTTGTATTTATTGTTTTATTTGTTTTCAAACATAGTGGGCATTCGAAATACTAACTTTTAGCTTTACTCTGAATCGTTAGGCAAGCTATTCTACCAAACATACAGAAGAGAATTCAACAAATCCATTGGTATTTAATCAGAGAAATAGTGCACGTAGTATTTCCTGTCAAACCGGAAGTCAACAGTTGTTTGTCAGGGACTATTTCCGGCCATATACATCACATTTGTTTTAATGTCGTCGCGCTAACTAAGAGGACAATTTTTTTGTATTATTTATTGACAATCTTTGGCAAAGATTGCCATTTAATATTTAATGTAAATGTTGAAGTATTTTACATCAGTTACTCTGTATAGTTGAGGTGTAGTGGCCCCAACATGACGAAGTTTTTGTAAATTTCTGTCGTTTTTAGCTAACTTATAAACCGAATATGCAGACTAACCTTCATCACTGTAAGATAATCATAGATACATGTATTTAATTTTATTGCCATTAATTATAAGGAGAGGTTGGGAAATGATGAAGATGCATAATGATGCCACATGCAATATGTGTGCATTGTATACCAACTTGTACCTATGTTACAATCATGAAAATAAACAAAAACATGTTAAATATATATTCTTTGTTGTTGTATTTACCTTTATGTTATAAAAAACTTTGATGACTTAGAGGAGAGATGCATGTGATACCAAGCCAAAATAATAACATGGCGTGCAATTTTAACTGATTTTATTATAAGGGATGGCAAAGGCTATGATGTGAATGGGTATTTCTATGTTTTGAGTGGTGTGTGTGTGTGTGTGTGTGTGTGTGTGTGTGTGTGTGTGTGTGTGTGTGTGTGTGTGTTGCTTTGGGTTTGGTTTGTTTTTACGCTTTTTAATAAGAACCAACTGCAACCCTTGCTCACTGAGAAATGCCCAACGTTGTAGAATTAGCAATTTACCAAATCCGATTCACGTGGGTGGGTGTTGTACGCTGGTTTTCTTCGAACAAACAATAGATTCAAATGGCAAGTGACTTAGAAGAGGATAAGTGAATAATGTGTATTCCCATCAGACCAATAACCCTGTATGGTTGAGAAACCTTTAACGACATATCTCCTATAGGCGCTCCCTCCCTTATGGGACCACCAAGCTTACGATGGCATGCGAGGGTATATAGAACAGGGTGGTTAGGTACGTCAGGCCTATATACGCATTGATTTTTGGATAATGATACCGCTCCAGATCAATACTACTGTGAGTAGAGACAGACACGAAGCAATGCATGTAGTGTCCATCATTGCCCCAATATCCGTCCTTGTCACACATATATATTATTTACCAGTGCACTTCTACTGAGACACGTACTTGCACCTGGGCGTGACCCTACAAAAACACGGCTCTGTTATTAGGCCGATGACACTGAATAACATGCTGTCCCACTGTTTTAGCGACAACTCCAAATGTCAAAAAGATCTACCAGTAAGTTATTTTAGGTTTGAATTCAATATCGGCCGGTTGGATGGTTAAGAGGTAACATCACTAGCTCATCAGGCTGAAAATCACAGGTTCGAATCCAGTATTTGTATGTGTGAGTTCATGAGTGGAATATGACTAAAAGTGATGCAAATTATTATTCTCTCACTTGATTTTAATTTAAAATTCTTAACATGGAAATTATTTTCACACTATTCTCAATTTTGTGTTCGCGTACTTATATATGAAAGGTTATTTAATATTTCTAGTTTTTATTATTATTTACATGTATATATGGCCTCCGCACTGAAAAGCCATACTGTGATACCAAAGGGTGCACAATGGTATCACTCGTTGAATATGTAAATATACATACTAACTATTATCCAAAATGATAATCATAATAATAATTCCAGCTGTTACATATCCATCAATCATCAACCAGACAGTTAATAATCGGGATGAATATATTCTTTGTCGGGAGAAAGTATTGATGGTGCTTACTGAACACCAGAGCAGCGATTTAAATACCGTACATATATGTTGCTTTCAGACCAATCAGCCGATCAGGAATGTTGGCTATTCCCGTTTAAGAATACTTCAACGTAACATGAAGATGTCTGTATGTCTCCGTCTCGCTTTTCTACAGGTGAACGTAACTCCAGTTATCTTATGTATACTTTCTCTGCCCCAAATTGTCTAACAGATTGCAATGGTTTTCGACATGCAGGGAATTAATATGGCTTATTATAGTTCCCATCACGTACGTACTCCACCGGGTGAAATGTGGGACACACCCATGTTTGTTGGGGGTCTAAAATAGAACCAACCAAGAAGTGGTCATTTGCTTGGGATACTTGAAATGCTGGTAGATGGAGAAAGTAAGACAAAGCTGCACTTTGTTGCCTGGTGATCTCCCTTTGTTGGTTAACATTCCGAGTGGCCGAATATGGGTCATTCTTTAATGTGCGTCTATACAATATTGCAAATACAGGGCTAAATAAATGAACAAAAGAATGGAATGGATGACAGTCTCACTGACGAAGGTACAGATAAATTAATTAATGATATGACGGATATATACATGAATGAATGAATGAATGAATGAATGATGTTTTGTCGTTGAATAAATATGTAAATGTATGATTAGATAGAATAAATTGAATTGGCGTTCATCTCTGAAATAAATAAATAAACAAATAAATAAATAAATAGCGTTTTGCAGCACTCCATAAACCTCTACACACAACAGTGTGCATTATGTTGAGTTTGTCTCGCATAACATCGTGGGAATCGGGGCACCCGGACTTCTCCCTGCGCAGGGTGTTGGCTAGGGGTCAGCGGCAGGTCAGCTCACATATATTATGCAGATATGCAAGCACCTTGTGTTCTTATCACTAAACAAACAACTAGATGCATATTCCGTGCAGTAGTATGCACTTACTGCATTCCGTCACAACGTTTGAACAGGCCTCTCAGTAGACTTACATCTTGTCTCTGAAATGAACATATCTTACAGAAAAAAACAGTTCCTAAATTATAATCATAAAATATAATGAAAAGGAGCCCTGAGACTTTATTCATTACCAGAAGCTGTGGAAATCTAGACTTGCCACATAATCTAGACTTGCATGGGCTTTCTTGGATATGTTTGTTTCAGGGTCTGTATGACAGACTAGCCTCTCGGGTGTACCTCTCTCTCTCTTTTATTCTGTCACTGTCTCCCTCTCCCCCCCCCTTCTCCCTCTCTATCTATCTATCTATCTATCTATCTATCTATCTATCTATCTATCTATCTATCTATCTATCTATCTATCTATCTATCTATCTATCTATCTATCTATCTATCTATCTCTGAACATTGTACGTATAACGTAGTAGGTATGGGCTTTGACACTGGACGTGGTGACAGAATTACGATAAAAAAATATATTATTTATATTCAATTTAAATATCGTTCTTATTCCCGTTCTTATTCCTTGCCACTGGAATTACGTTTTATGTTTTCAACTGCACTTTAAGCCTTGTTGTACCCGGTGTAAATACATCTATCATATCTGATGTGTCATGGCTGTGTCTATAGTCACAGAAAAGAACTAAGTCGGCAAATCATTATTTGTCTACTCACGCTGACAATAACATATTGTGTGACAATACCACATGTTTCAAATCAATCGCCATAAAAATAAACCTACTGACGGAAACCGTTATTTATGAAAATAATATATAACGCATACCGCTTGGTCTGAAAAGAAGAATAGAAAGGGTCTTACAACACTCCTTGTCGTGTCACTATGCGAGTATCAAAAGCCAGTCACCCCGCGATCGAGAACATATTTAAATTCAAATCTGGTACAACCCATGATTCAACGGGAAGGTGGTCGTATTGACCGCAAAGCTATGAGTCACCGACTCTCCACCCCGCAACCCTCTACCACTGATTTAAAGAGTCTCCCCGCACGGTACAAGTACCCCCAAAAGAATCCCTGCTCTCGGGTAGCTCAGAAATACCCGGCATCCCCACTCTGCACCCCCTTAACACCCGGGAGACGGGAGGACTAAATCAACAGCGGGACCCCTTGGCGCGCAAGACCCCTATCCGAGAGAAGGCCAACCCCTTTATCGTTCACCGGGACTTTGAAAGAACTAAGAAATGTTGAAACCATTGGTTATGTCGCGACTGCATTGTGGCGGGAGAGGTTGGATATCGGGGGCTGATAGACTGCAGATATCGACTTGCGAGCGACATGAGCTGATTTTGCTTGCTATCACCACGTGATAAAAATGCCCAAATTCAACGACTCTCAAAGTCCAATATTTGCTTTTGTTAGGGACAGGTCTTGTGAGTGAGACTGAATACCTTAGAAATCCTATACGCTTTAGCAAGCAATATCGGCCAGGATATTATGCAAGTCTATTTCTATATTTCCAGAAGTCCTTATTGCACAAACTAATGAATATGTCAAAGTAGTATTAATAATAAGCTGTTTGCTCACGGGTTTATCGGCTTTTAGTTTGTTTAACAACCCGGTTTTTGTAAAATCATATTAAATTAGGTGCTTGATAAACGACGTAATTTTCACGTGATGCCCGTGTGGCAGTGTGTCTGACCGGATTGTTTGAGTCGGTACACGTGGCACAATATCTGGTTACGTCTGAGAACTTTGTCTGAGACCTCTATATCTGTACCTATAGTTGACTCTTTGTGCCTCTCTATCTTGTTGTCATCTAATTATGTATGCTCAAACACCTGTATTTTATCTCTCGCCATGTTTGTATCTGTGTCCGCAGGTCTGTATCTCTCTCTGTAGGTGTTCACATCTGTATCTCTCTCTGTAGCCTGTCTACATCTGTCTCTCTATCTCTCTGTAGGTGTCTACATGTATCACTCTCATGTAGGTGTGTCTATCTCTCTGTAGGTGTCACACATCTGTATCTCTCTCTGTAGGTGTCTACATCTGTATCTCTCTCTCTGTAGGTGTCTACATCTGTATCTCTCTCTGTAGGTGTCTACATCTGTATCTCTCTCTGTAGGTGTCTACATCTGTATCTCTCTCTGTAGGTGTCTACATCTGTATCACTCTCTGTAGGTGTCTACAGCTGTATCTCTCTCTGTATCTGCCTGTAAGTCTCTGTAGGTGTCTACAGCTGTATCTCTCTCTGTAGGTGTCTCAGCTGTATCTGCCTGTAGGTGTTCACATCTGTATATCTGCTCTGTAGGTGTTCTACATCTGTATATCTCTCTGTAGGTGTCTACATCTGTATCTCTCTCTGTAGGTGTTCACACATCTTATGTATCTCTCTGTAGGTGTCTACAGTCTGTATCTCTCTCTGTAGGTGTCTACATCTGTGTCTGTATCTCTTGTATGTGTTCTATATCTGTGTCTGTATCTGCCTGTAGGTGTCACATCTGTGTCTCTATCTGCCTGTATGTGTTCACATCTGTGTCTGTATCTGTCTGTAGGTGTTCACACTTATGTCTGTATCTGCCTGTAGGTGTTCACATCTGTGTCTGTATCTGTCTGTAGGTGTTCACATCTGTGTCTGCCTGTAGGTGTTCACATCTGTATCCTGTGCCTTTGTAGGTGTTCTGCATCTGTGTCATCTATCTATCTGTAGGTGTTCACATCTGTGTCTGTGTCTGTATCTGCCTGTAGGT